CATGAAGAGAAATGAAGAGACCCTGAGAATTATGTGGGATACAATCAAAAGCAAAACTCTGTGAGTGATCGGGGTTCCAGAACAGAGAGAGAAAAAAGAAGACACAGAGAGGATCATTGAAGAATTGCTGACAGAAAACTTCCCCAGTATCATGAAGGATGAAAAGCTGACCATCCAAAAAGCTCAATGAACCCCATATAGGATAGACCCCAAAAGAAAATCACCAAAGCGTATCACAATCACACTCGCTAAAACCAAAGACAAACAAAGCATCCTGAGAGCAGCTCAGGAAAAACAAAAAGTCACAAACAGAGGAAAAACAATAAGACTAAGCTCGGATTATTCAGCAGAAACCATGCAGGCAAGAAGGCAATGGGATGACATGTATAAAACCTTGAAAGAAAAAAATTGCCAGCCAAAAATAATATATCCTACAAAACTATTGTTCAAATATGATGGTGAAATTAGGTCATTTCCAGATAAACAGAAATTAAGGGACTATGTAAAAACCAAGCCAAACTTACGAGACTTATTAAAGGAAGTCCTTCAATCTGAGAACAAACAATAGCAGACCACAGGCTGAATATAGGACACAGGATTGTGCTAGCCAGACACCAACCTAGGAAATGAACTCTCAAGAACTATGCAAAACCAAAAGAATTACAAAACAGAACCAGAGAGGTTAATCTGTAAATGATAACAGCATCAGAACAATAAAAGAGGGAATAAATGGTGTAGATATAGAACCTTCTCATGGAGAGGAAGTCAAGCGATATCTGGTAATAATAGACTGGTTCATATCTAGGAAGATGAGGGTAAATTTCAAGGTAACCACAAATACAGTTAACAAACCTATTCATCAAAATAAAGAAGAAAAACATAAAGTCTCAGTAAGAACAAAACCTACAAAAACAAAAGAAATGAAAAAAATTCACAAACAGAAGGAACTCAGCACAGGAGAGTAAGAGGAACAAAACTGGAGGACATTATGCTGAGTGAAATAAGTCAATCACAAAAAGACAAATATTGTATGAGGCCTCTACTGTATAACTCATGTAAAAGTTTACACACAAAAAGAAACAATGTTTGTTGGTTACAAGGGATGGGAGGAGTGGGAGGGAACTAGATAGATAAGTGGTAACTTTGGTGAAGGGTAAGATAGTACACAATACTGGGGAAGCCAGCACAACTTGTACAAGGAAAGGTCATGGAAGCTCCCTAGACACTTCCAAACTCCCTGAGGGACCGAATTGCTGGACAGAGGGCTGTGGGGACCATGGTCTTGGGGAACATCTAGCTTAATTGTCATAACACAGTTTATAAAGACAATGTTCTACGTTCTACCTTGGTGAGTAGCATCTGGGGTCTGAAAAGCCTGTGAGCAGCCATCTAAGCTACTCCACTGGTCTCACCCCTTCGGGAGCAAGGGAGAATGAAGAGAACAAGATACAAGGAAAAGATTAGTCCAAAAGACTAATGGACCACAGCTACCACGGCCTCCACTAGACTGAGTCCAGTACAGCTAGATGGTGCCCGGCTACCACCACTGACTGCTCTGACCAGGATCACAATAGAGGCTCCTGGAAAGAGCTGGAAAAGAATGTAGAACAGAACTGTAACTCACAAAAAAGACCAGATTTACTGGCCTGACAGACTGGAGAAACCCTGAGAGTATGGCCCCCGGACACCCTTTTAACTCAGTGGTGAAGCCCCTCCCGAAGTTCACCGTTCAGCCTGGGATTGGACAGCCTCATAAAACAAAACAGGACTAACGAGGCAAAGCAGTCCAGGAACAAGGACTAGAAGGCAGGAGGGGACAGGAAAGCTGGTGATAGGGAACCCAAGGTTGAGAAGCGACAGTGCTGACATGACGTGGAGTTGTTAATCATTGTCATAGGGCAATGTGTGTAGTAACTGTTTAATGAGAAACTATTTGTTCTGCAAACCTTCATCTGAGGTACAAAAAAAAAAAAATTATCTATGTGAGATCAAATTGACAATAACAACTCAAAAGTTTTGATGGGAAGCCTGGGGACAGTGAGTTGAAGATAATGGTGATGGAATAATTTGGAAAAGGATAGTGAGAATAGCAGCACAACTGCAACTGCAAGAATGTAATCGATGTCACTGAATTGTACATGTAGAAACTTTCAAAATGGTGTAACTTTGGCTATGTATATTATCACCAAAAAAAAAAAAAAAAAGACTCCCTGGGAATTCCTGAAGAATGATTCCACTTCCTATTCCGTGAGACTGGAAATTTCTTTGTTTAAAAAAAGGACTCAAATTAAAACTCTGGTGGGAGCCCCTCTGAAGGGGTCTCCACTAAGAATAATCTTAAACGAACTTCTGTGTTAGAGCTCATGAGGGCAAGCAGCCAACTGAGTTGTGATTGGTCAACTCACAAGTTTTTCTTCTTTTTCATTTTATTATTTTTACCTAAATGAGATCATCCTGTATATGCATTTTGTAAACTTTTGTTTACACTTCTCATCATATGTGGAACATCTTTCAGATCAGCACTGACCAACATGTAAAGAACTGTCTGGTGCTCCATCGTACAAAGGTATCATTATTGATTTGACCATTTCTCTGAAACTGGAAATCTAGAATGTTGCTACATTTTTTTTGCTGTTACAAACACCGCGTTTACTTTTAAGGGAATGTGATTTGGAAAATGTTATGCCCCAATTTATGAAAACTGCAGACTCTGCAGCGCCAGAGTCTAGCTGGGAGGGGGCTGCTGTATGTGGTGAAGGATTTGCAACCAGCGTGGGGCGATCCATCTCCTTCTCACTTCCTCCTCAGAAGACTGAGGGCTCCAGGTCAGGCGCAAAATTATCTCCCTCAGTTGATGCTTTTCTCCCTCAAGAACACTATTTCCTAGCAGAGATTTTTCTGTTCTCTGGAAAGCAGGAATTTTTGGTCCTGGCTCCCACTTGGAAGATCAGAGGTGGCCTATTTTCTTCTGCCCCATAATTTCCAGAGAAATTAATAAGATATACTTCCTGGGCCCCTCAAGGGAGTTGAAGCAGGATGCCTGCCCATGAGGAGCTTGTAGCTGAGTTGAGAGACAGACATGTACACAAATGGTGAAGCCAGGTGGAACTTCTAGGACCACCTGAGCCCTCTGCCACTATGATCACCAATGTTTGAATGGGGAAATGAGGCCCAGAGAAAGAAAGGGTCCTGTTGACATCTCCCAGTGTTGGAAATAGAATCCAGGCTTCCTACCTGCGCATTCATGACTCTGCGACGCCCCCTGCTGGCGTCCTAGGAAGTGATGTTCTTCAGCCTAACTCCCAAGATGCCTCTGGGGAAAAGCCTCTTCATCCAGAAACCCTCTGGGGTTCAAATCCCTGAGTCCCTGATGGGGGAGCTCGTGCTTGGAAGCCAAGCAGTCTGGGGCAGTTGGCCATATTCCAGTGCTGCTCTCCTAGCCAATACTCACCCTCTGTGATAAGCCTCTCCCTTGTCAATTTTATCAATTGATCCAATAATGTGCATTTTTTCTGCAGCAGAGGATCCAGTCCAGGATCCTGGGTTGTACAATTGCCGTATCTCTTTTGTCTCCTTCAATCTGGACCTGTCCCTCAGTCTTTCTCAGCCTTTTATGACTTTGACATTTTTGAATAATACGGTACCTTAAAAAAACAGTGTTCTTCATTTCCTCATGATTAGATTCAGGTTGCACATTCCTGGCTGGAACACCGCACAGACGATGCTGTGACCTTCTCAGGGCATCACATCTGAGGCACGCACAGCCCATTTGCCCCTCGCTGGTAATTTATTTTAATCACTCGGTCAAGATGTTGTCTGATTTCTCTACAGTAGAGTTATTCTTTTTTGCTCTTGCTATTAATAAACAAAGGAGTCCTGGTGACGCAATGGTTAAGCACATGGCTGCTAACTCAAGGGTCGGTGGTTCAATCTCACCAGCTGCTCAGCAGGAGAAAAGGCCTGGCAATCTGCTCCCGTAAAGATTACAGCCTAGGAAACCCTATGGGACAGCTCTACTCTGTCCTATAGGGTTGCTATCAGTCAAAATCAACTCGACGGCACACAATAGCGACAACAACTAATAAAAATGTGTGAAGAGACACTTTGAGGTATTAGTGGTTCAGTGGTAGAATTCCTGCCTTTCATGTGGGAGACCTGGGTTCTATTCCCGGCCAATGCACATCATGAGCAGCCACCTGCCTGTTAGTGGAGGCTTGTGTGTTGCTGTGATGCTGAACAGTTTCAGCGAAGCTTCCAGACTAAGACGGACAAGGAAGGAAGGCCTGGTTATCTACTTCCAAAAATCAGCCTATGAAAATCCTGTGGATCACAAAGGTCTGATCCACAGCTGATCATGGGGATGGTGCAGGACTGGGCAATGTTTGTGCATGGGGTCACTGTGAGTCCGGAGCTGACTCAACGGCCAATAACAACAACAACAAAGAGACACTGTAAGACCACACCAGTATCCTGCTCCTCGTCAAAAATTTCCCCCTGGATTTAGTGTCCATTGATGAGTTTTGCCCACAAGCTCTCTTCCTTTCTCTGGATAGGGCATCAGGCCCTGACCAGACGCCAGCCTTCACTTATAATCCTATTCCAGTCCTGTTCTCCTGGCTACCCCAAGCCTCCTAGATTTGACCCAAGTTCGAGCCCCTTGTTCACCGTCCACCTTTATTGTAGGCTGCCCCCCTTACAAGGAGCAGGATTCTTGGCGTCATCTCATTTCCTGTCCTGTGAAGCTTCTCGTCCTCACGGTAGCCACTGGCTAGATCAAGGGGACCATAGAGTTTTCCAGCCACCAAGAGTGGAGGTGCAAGGAGCCTCTGCCTCCAGCAGACCTCAGAGCTGAGGGTGGTGAAACCTTACTGGTGAGGCTGCGGTGGGCTCTGCAGGAACCTGTGATAAGATGCACAGCAGTTAGTTAGGGCAGCTGCTTTGAGGTTGGGAGTCTGGAAGCCCACAGGAAGTGACTCGGTGCAGAGCTGATGCGTCTTCACCCCGGCACCCGTAGTGGGACAGGAGCTGCAGGCTGGCGTGGCTGTGGGGATGTCCACGGGGCGCCCAGAGCCTGGGCCAGAAGGGCTAAGCAGGCACCATGGGGCTTTGGCCTCAGACCACCAACCCCCTCCGACTGCTCCCGTTTCCTGGAGCCTGCCCCGCTGGAGAGCTTACGTGGCAGCCGCAGTGCTCTGCTATATCAACCTCCTGAACTACATGAACTGGTTCATCATTGCAGGTGAGGACGGCAGGCCGCCCTCCCTGGGGCAGCGTGGTCTGCTACTCTGTCCGCTGGCTGCCCAGCCACCAGCTGGCGGCCGCGTATCCCACGGTGCCTTCCAGCCACTATCCTTTCTTCTCTTGCAGCTTGTCTCTGGTGTTCTCTCCCTGGAGGTGGTTTTCAGCCATGCTTGTGTGCGGGGGGTGGGCAATTGATGTTCCCAATCCAGCCCCAAACTAGGAGGGTGCACAGTGGGTGTGGGGGCGGAGGACATGATGGGGTGTGAGTGGGTGAAGACAGTAGGGAGACTGGGTTTTCCAGACAAAAGCCCTGAGGTTCTGGACAGATCTGCCAGGGTGAGGGTGTGGAGGACAGGGCAGCCTGGCCCAGCTTCCAGGTAAAAAATCACTCTCGCTGGGCTGTTTCTGGGACCACAGGCTGCTTGCAAACCCTGCACGTTCTGCCTGCCTTCCTGTAGAGGAGGGCTCTGCCTGCTTCCGTCTTCTTGGCACTCGCTCATTCACTCATTCACTCATTCATCCATTCACTCAAGACTGGGGCTCAACCTGCTTTTCTCTTCTCTTCACTCACTCATTCCCTCATTCATTCATTCAAGACCAATGGGAACTCAGCTGCTTTTCTCTTCTTGTCACTCATCCACTTACTCATGCATTCATTTATTCATTCAAGACTGACTGAGCATTGACTATGGACAGGACCCTCAGGCGGGCCCTGGGGACCCAGGGGGAAGTCAGATTTGCAGTTTCTGCCTCATCTCAGGAATGACCCTCCCGTGGGGCCGAGGGAGAAGCTCATTACAGGAATCCTTCAAGGCAGAGAGAAGGGGCCAGGAGGAGGGAGGCTCAGGCCGGGTTGGGGAGTTCAGAGGGGCTGCAGCAGCCTGGCCTCTCTGAGGGCAGGACAGTGATTCGTTGGTCACCAGCTCTGCATGCTGGAGAGTGGCTGTGAATAAATGGAGTCCCGGGTAACGGACGTTACCGGACCTGGTTTCTGTCTCTGAGGAGCTCAGGAGGACACAGAACACATGTCCTAGTAGCTATAATACAGGATAGGACAGAGTGGGGTGAGTGGCAGCCGGGCACAGCCCCGAGGACAGGGGACTGAGGGGTCAGACAGAACTCACAGAAGTTTGGGCCTGGACGGCGGAGAAGATTGGAAAAGTGGGGAATGGGGTGAGGGGAGAGCATTCAGACAGAGGGGTCAGTGTACGTCAAGGGGTGAAGGGAGAGCATTCAGACAGAAGGGTCAGCATGCGCCAAGGGGTGAGGGGAGAGCATTCAGACAGAGGGGTCAGCGTGGGCCAAGGGGTGAAGGGACAGCATTCAGACAGAGGGGTCAGTGTGCGCCAAGGCACGTGGGGTTAAAGTGCGTGTTCTGATCAAGGATGGAGGGAGGCGATAAAGGAGGAAATTATTCATAAGAGGGTGTTTGGGGCCAGATCATGGGCTTCTTGGATACCAGACTGGGAGCTTGGTCTTTCTCCTGTGGGCAATGGGGAGCCATAGAAAGTTTTTTTTTAAAGTGAGGGGATAGCATCAGAGTTGAGGCCCTGGTTGAGGCCATTTGAGACAGAGGGGTCAGCTCAGAGGTTACTGCAATGGATTAGGCCAGTATGAGGAGGCCTGAGGAGGAGTGCGGGCGAGTGCATGAAGAGGAGGGAAGCGGGGAGGGACTTGGGGAACATCGGTATGAGGTCCCAGCTATCCCTGCCACTCGCCCTGGAGGGTCCCTGGCTGGGCCCTCAGCCCCTGAGTCCTCCTACCTGAGGCCCCTGCCTTCACTTCCCCTGGTCATGGGAGAAGTGAGGCTTTGGTTGCCATTTGGACTACGGAGGCCTGGAGAAGTGAAACCACAACAAGGGCCTTGGCGACTGTTGAGGGCGGGTAGCTCACACACACAGCAGCTAAAATTCCCTCTTGCAAGATAGCCTCTTTGGAGGGCCAAAAGTGACCAGCACTTATAAAAGCAAGGCTCGGTACACACCAGGCCCTGGACCACCCCCAGAGCACCAGGGGTCTGGAAGGAGCCCAGGAGGACAGAAACCAAGAGGTAGGCCTCCATTCCTAAAAATGAAAGATGAGTGCAATCATAGAGAATTTTTATTCAGGAGTTTATTTTGCTTACTTGTGTTGTCTATTTTCCACCTGCAAGGAATATGTCTTATTTGTGTAATTAAAAAACACTAAAAGGGGAAAAAAGACTTATAGATTTGTACTCCTGGGTGCTGTGGCAACAGGGCTTGAATTAAACATCTAAACAAAAATCTCTTAGTTGGCTTCTCTGATTCTTCAATCTTTCTTCACCAGCTGCGAGGTCTTGGGGGTGTGGATGTGGGGCTTCCTTCCCCACTGTGTGGGTGTTTCTGTAGTACCTCATTGGGGATTTCTGCCTCCCCCGTCAGCCCAGGCAGGAGGTTAGGGTGCTTCCGGCTGGGATTTGAGTACCAGCTCCCCCGATCCAGGCGTGTGGCCTTAGACAGGCTGGAGCCTCTGTTTCCTCATCTGTAAAATGGGAACATGATGGTCCCTACCTTTTAGCGTAACAATTGCAAGTGTCCAGTTCAGGCCTGGCTCTCAGCCATCTCAAAGTGAAATGGAAGTAATGATGAGACTTCTTAGTAATAATGGTAGAGCCAGAGCCTCATGGCCCAGATGAGCAGGTGCCCCAGACCCTGACGAGACCTTTCTGAAATACCACCAAGGGGCCAAGAGGATTCCAGGAAACAAAGCCCAGCATCTGGGAGCCTGTTTCCTCTCTCTGCATTAGACTCAGCGCCTGCTGCAACGGCCCATGGCTTAGCAAAGACTTGGAGGGGCTTCAGAGCCCTGGCTGGTACAGAGCAGGGCGGGCATCCTTAGGAAGGTGGGGACCTAAGCCTCTGAAGCTCTGTGTGTACACATGTGTGTGCTCATGCTTCTGGTAGAATATGCTTCTGTGTACACGTGTGCAGGCCATGGCACACATGTATGTGCTCCTGTGTGAACATGCATGTCTGTGCAGGTCTGGTGTCTGTGCACAAGCAGGGCTGCTGTGTTGCACCACTCTGGAGGCATCCATTTACACTGTAGTCTAAGTGACTGGCTATGCACTGTGCAACAATGTGAACGGCAGCCCTGCACGTGTGCATGTGTATGCATGCCTGTGGATGTGTCTTTCTGTGTACATCTCAGTGTTATGTGTACGAGTGTCTGGTTGTAGGAGACTGGGCTACATGTCTGTGAGACAGGCTCCTGTACATCTGCTTATCTGTGTCTGTGGGTGTATTTCTCCAGGAATGCCTGTTTGCATGAATATATGTATGTGTGTGTTCATGTCTGTGTGTCTCTGTGACTGTGTGCCGATGACTGTGAGTGTGTGCCTGTGTGTAAGTGTGTGTATATCTGTGCCTTTGATCTCTGTGCTGTGCTGATCAGCAGTGGCCCTGTCCCAAATGCAGGGACAGCTGCCTTTAGAGACCCGCCCTGCCGGACTACTGCCTATTCCTGAGCACGGCTCCTTTGTCCACAGGAGTGCTGCTGGATGTGCAGAAGTGTTTTCAAATCAGCGACAGTAATGTGGGTTTGCTTCAGACTGGTAAGGAGCGAGTCCCTGGCCCTGGAGCTGGGGTGGGCTCATGCTGGGTGGGGTCTTTCAGAGGGTCCTGCTCTGTGTCCAGCTTCAGCTCCTGAGACATCAGAGCCAGGCAGAGCACCACGAAGCCTGAGAAGGGGGCACTGAGGATGGTGGGGTTTGGGCATGAAGGGTAGGCTGGGCAGGTGGAGGAGCCAGCATGAACCAAGACCTAGTGCTTGAGCAGCGGCTTCTGGCCTGAGTGGAGGTGGTGCAGACAGAGTGTGGGTGTGGGCTAGACAAGGCATCTGAGCACAAATCACGGCTGTGGAGTCAAGACCTGCATTTCGTTAGCATCTGTTGAGCTCAGCTGTGCACTGGAGGCTAGAAATCCTGACTAGTGCTTTCCTTCACAGACCTGAAAAATCTGACCACAGGACACACGGACAGATACACAGACACATTCTCCCGCCATGGGCTCAGGTGGGGTCTGGACCCATAGGAAGCTTACAGCATGCCCCATTGCAAGGCAGGGGGTGTTGGGGTCACGAGGCACTCACTTCTCCCCTGTGGGCACCTGGATGGTGACACACGGTCTTCGTTATCTAGTGCTGCTGTAACAGAAATACCACAAGTGGGAGGCGTTAACAAACAGAAAGTTATTTCTCATGGTTTAGGAGGCCAGAAGTCTGAATTCAGGGCGCCGGCTCTAAGGGAAGGCTTTCTCTCTCTGTCAGCTCTAGGGGAATGTCCTTGTCCCTTCAGCTTCTATTCTTCGGTTCCTTGGTGATCTCCATGTGGTGTGACATCTATCTTCTCCCATCTCTGCTTCTCTTGATTGCTTGTTCAATCTCTTTTACATCTCAAAAGAGATTGACTTAAGATACACCCTATACTAATCCTGTCTCGTTAACATAACGAAGAAAACCCATTCCCAAATGGGATTGCAACCACAGATATAGAGGTTAGGATTTACATATTTCTGGGGGACACAATTCAATCCACAACACACACACTCATACCCACGTGTGTATGCACACCATCAGAACACACGATACACACATGTGCACACACCAGTCTGTAACTAGCACACACACGGGTTTCTCTCTGCTGGCCCCTCTCTCCTCGTAATAGTCCACCATCTCAAAGCTCTAGAAGGGCTCTCCAACTAGGGTACCCCTGGGGACACAAAAAATTTCCAGGGGGTACATGAGCACAGAGAGTTTAAAGGGAATACATTTCCAGATCCTCAAGATCTGAATGTTTCTTTCCTAAAATGGATCTGCCTGAGAACCAGCCTGTGGGCTGCTGTGAGTCTCCTTTCTCACCTCCCCTTTTATGATCTCCTTTCCACCATTTCTGCAAATGGCTAATGTGCTCAGCTGTTAATCAAAAAGCTGGACGCTCGAGTCTACCCAGAGGTGCCTTGGAGGAAAGGCCTGGCAATCTACTTCAGAAAAATCAGCTATTGAAAACCCTGTGGAGCACAATTCTACCATGACACACATGGGATCGCCATGAGTTGGGATTGACTCCATGACAACTGGTTATTTTCCATTTAAAGCAGAAAGATACATCTCTACCTTGAAATATATTTTACTATGGTACACTGTCTTGGGGTGTAACAACCTCTAGGGTGCCAAGCAGAGGGATCCCTGGCGGGTACTTGACTTCTGCTGGGGAGACCTGGAAGCAAGGCAGGGAGAGCTTTAAGGCCGGGACTGGTTCCTCCAGGCCACAAACCCATAGCAAGTCACTAGCCCTTATCTAGCTGACCAGCTGTGTGACTGCCTATTTATCTCTGAATTAGGATTCACAGGAGAGATGGTTATCTCAGGATGGGTGTTAACACATTTATTTCAATGAAAAAATGAAGCCAACATTTTTCTTATAGAAAGTCGGTCTGATTTGGCCAGTTGATTTGACAAATGAGGACTGGCTTTGCTAGTTAGAGTCCATGGTGGATATTTCCCATAAACAGAATGAACCCCATCTTCAGGATTAAGGATTGAATGAAACAATATATTTAAAACATATACAATAATTCCAGAGAGCACATCCTTTGCAACGATTTAAATTTCTGATGAAAATATTTTAAATGTCAGCTGAAAGCGTGTGAGGGGTACATAGTTCTTCCTTAAGAGTCACGTGAGCAGAAGGTAGAAGACCTTTGCTTTAGATGATGGATTTTTCTTCAGTTGCTCCTTAGTCTCAGGGCTGAGAGGCCAGGCAGCTGGCTGCTGACTGGAGAACCTTCTAGTCATGTTTGTAATCACAGTGAGAACACTTGACTGAATAACCCCAACCTTCTTGATTAAACAGATAATGGCAGTTGGGTCAACTTTTCCCCTACCCTGGTTCTCACCGTGGTGAACAGGATTGTTACTACAAGGCCCCTGCTAAATGAGACACTGTGGAGGGAGAAATTTGTGTGTGAGTGTGTGGGTGTGTATGTGTGAGTGTGTGGGTGGGGATGTGTGTGAGTGAGTGTGCATGGATGTGTGTATGTGAGTGTTAATGTGTGTGAGTATGTTGCATGAATGTGTGTGTGGGGTAGAGATGTATGTGAGTGTGTTAATGTGTTAGTGTATGTATGGATATGTGTGTGTATGTGAGTGAACGTGTGGAGTGGGGATGTGTGTGAGTGTGCTAATGTGTGTGAGTTAGTGCACTCATGGATGTGTGTGTGTGAGTGTGTGTGTGAGTGTGCTAATGTGTGTTAGTGTGTGCATGGATGTGTGTGTGTGTGTATTTGTGAGTGACTGAAGGGAAGGGCCATCTTTGCAGAAGCCGTCTAAGAAAGTGCTTAGAAAGGACAGTGAGCCTGGAGGCCTGGTGATCAGACTTGTCCCCAGCACTAATTACTGTGTAACCTCAGGCGAATCTCTTCACCTTGCTAGGTCTCTGTGCAATGGCCCTAAGGCGCCCCCTGCTGCCTGTCCACAGGGCTGCAGGGAGGAGGAAATCGACTGAGAGATTTTGGTCAGCTATAAGGCTGAGGGTGGGGATGGGGGAAGCAACAGTCAGACCTCCCTACATAGAACAGAGAGGCTGTGAATTGAGTTAGGTAATTAATTAATAATATTTAAAAAGAACTCTGACACCCTGTGCCTGGCACTCTTCTAAGTGCTTTATGATATTAAAAACTCCTTTAATCTCCACAACAATCCCATGAGGCAGCCATTATTATTATTATCTCCCTTTCACAGACGATGAACCTGAGGCACAGAGAGGTAATGGAGCTTGCTGAAGGTCCCACAGCTAGTAAGTGGCAGAGCTGGGACTGGAACCCAGGCGATCTGCCTCCAGAATCCATCTCTTAAACCCTGGGCTCATTAATTACTCCATCTTGCCACAGAAATGATTTGAATATGGAGGTGGAAGACATGAGGAGTTCCTGCCTTCTCCCTGGGGGACAGGTCTCTCCATCCAGGGCACCTGCAGGTTAAAGGCATTTTTGTCTTGTAAGGGATCTGTGGGCCCTAGAACCAGAAAAGTGTTAGAAGATATGGGGAAATATTTTCTAGAACTTTTAGGTAAAGAAGAATGCATAAACAAGATGTGGAACACAATCTTCCTAAAGAAATAATGATACATTTGGGCTACATCAGCACAAAACACTTCTGTGTGATGGTGATTAAAACTATAAATGCACTTAGTAATAATCATAAATAACAGTTACTGAGTGTATACTTAAAGCCACTTACTGCCCTTTATTTTACTTGATGCTCTCTGCTGGGAGGTCCAAATGTTTAACGTGCTTGGCTGTTAATGGAAAGGTTGGAGGGTCGAGCTCACCCAGAGGCACCTTGGAAGAAAGGCCTAGCAATCTACTTCTGAAAAATCAGCCACTAAAAACCCTGTGGAGCACAGTTTTACTCTGACACACATGGGGTCCCTGTGATTTGGAGTCAACTCCACAGCAGCTGGTTTTACTGGGTAGTCTAGTCCCAGAGCTTGCATTTTTGATTCTTCAAACAAACATAAAGGACTGGGAAAAATGATTTCCAAAATGTATGAAAAGTCAAACAGCAGCTTGATAGAAAAATGGGCATAGAATGCGAACACGAGAACACTTATTCAACTTTGCTGGCAATGATGCAAATTGAAACATCAGTGAGATCCTATTTGCTTTTCAACCATTAAAATAAAATGATCGATCATATCAAGTGTCAGCAAAGGCGCTGGCATCAACTTCTATTGTAGTGTAAATTGATACAGACTTTTTGGAGGCCTCTTTTGTCAGTAGCTATTAAAATGTTAAATGCCATTGATACCAAAGATCGTTCTCTGTGGAAGTACTCGGTTGAAACATATTAAATTACCATTTTTATAGGTCAAAACTGGCCTAATTTTGGAAACTGCATATGGCTCAACCCAATACTAGAGTGGGTCACGGGGGAGTGGGAAGGGCTGGAAACTGAGCTGGGAAGAATCCAGTCATTCACTGGGCTCAGGAAATGTCAATCATTTGTGCTCAACAGGTGAAAGGAGACCCAGATACTAGGTGGGGGCCTCCAGAGTCTGAGGCCCTCAGACTGTGGGACCTGGTGCAGGAGGGTCCAGATCTTCCCTTTTGCATCTTTGGCTGTTGCTGGTTCTTCACAGCCTGACCCAGGCAGCGGGTCCTCCGGGATGTTCAGCTTGTAGGCAGCGAGCTCACCATCCCCAGAGGTTGGAGGCGATGGTCTTTAAGGAACAGAAGTTTTGTGTGCATGTATCCATGTATTGAAGCACTGGTGGCTCAGTGGTTAACAGCTTGGCTGCTAACCAAAAGGTTGGCAGTTCAAATCCTTGGAAACCCTATGGGGCAGTTCTACTCTGTCCTACAGGGTCACTATGAGTTAGAATCAACTCGACAGCAGTGGATATCCATGTATTAAACAGTTGCTGTGGAGTCGATTCCCACTCGTGGTGACCCCATGTGTGTCAGAGTAGAACTGTGCTCCACAGGGTTTTCAACGGCTCATTTTTCAGAATAATCACCAGGTCTGTCTTCTGAGGCATCTCTAGGTGGACTCAAACCTGTAACCTTTCAGTTAGCAGCAAATGCCTTAACAATTTGCACCACTCAAGGACTCCATGTATTACGCCAAAAAACCAAACCCATTGCCATCCACTTGGTTCCGACTCATAGCGACCCTATAGGACAGCATAGAATTGCCCCATAGGGTTTCCAAGGAGCCGCTAGTGGATTTGAATTGCTGACATTTTGGTTAGCAGCCAAATGCTTAAACCACTGAGCCACCAGGGCTCCCCATGTGTTATCGTCAAGCATAAATTTAGCAATTGCTTTGTTTTCGCTGAATAGCCAACCACATTCATTAATTCAGTAGGTAATATTAATAAGGGTTTAAGTTTAAAATAAATTTTATAAGTACAACCGTCAGTGTTAGGGGAATGTTTTATCTGCTTTCCCAGCCTCCTGGATCTGTAGTCAATGTACTCATTCTTGTGCTCATCTGCTGTAAGCCGGTCCCAGGCAGACCTTTCTTCCCTCCTGCCACCACCCCCACCCTAGCAGGTATTGTTGTTGATGTTAGCTGTTGTCAGTGGCCCCCAACTCATGGCAACCCCATACACAATGGAACGTCTCGGATTGGACCATTGTGATACATAGGGTTTCCACTGGCTGATTTTCAGAAGTAGACTGCCAGGCCTTTCTTCCTTGTCCATTTTAATCTGGAAGTTCTACTGAAGCCTGTCCAGCATCATAGCATCACACAAGCCTCCAATGACAGACGGATGGTCGCTGTACATGAGGTGCATTGACTGGAAATTGAACCCAGGTCTCCCACATGGAAGGCGAGAATTCTATCACTGACACCAATGCCCCCTAACAACAGGTGCGTGAGTGATAAATCAGACCAACCTCAATACCTAGAAAGGGCAGGGGGCACTTTGGAGGCCCCCAGGCTCCCAGGGGCCAGAAGTTCTTGTAAAGATAGTAAACTAGTGTCTACCGAACACGCCAGGCTGTGTGCCAGGACTCACCCTTCCTCTTTCATCTCATCCCTACCCAGCCTCGGAGGCGGATGTTGATGTATTCATTGTTGAAATGATGCTCAGAGAGGTGGAGCTAGTTACACAAAGCCACACAGTAAGCAAGTGGCAGAGCTGGGATTCGAACCTGGGCCTTGGATCCCCACATACTTCCTAGTCACCCCCACTCTGGGCTGAGTGTTGGACAGGGGTTGGGAGAGTCACCTCATCTTTTCTTCCTTATGCCTGGACTCATTGCCCTGGTGCCATCTTGTGGCATCCGGGCCACGCCTTTCCCTGGGCCTGCTGGGCTGTCCAGTGGGAGGACTCATGCTCCCCTTCTCACGTCTCCTCCAGTCTTCATCGGCTGCCTGCTGCTGTCTGCACCCGTGTTTGGCTACCTGGGCGACCGACACAGCCGCAAGGCCATGCTGAGCTTCGGGATCCTGCTCTGGTCAGGAGCTGGCTTTTCCAGCTCCTTCATCTCTCCCCAGGTGCCTTCCTCCCCCTGCTTCCTCCCTGATGCAGAACGATGGGAGCTGGGTGGTGATGGTTTTGCTCCATTCTAGGCTCCAGGCTTGGGGCTCGCCCTCCAGGGGGGAGAGAGATGGTGCAGGCTCAGCCAGAGATCAGGGCCAGAGACGGTTAGCTTCCTTTCTTGCCTCTCCCGCTGTTGCCTGTGGCTCCACTTCTGCCTGACTCTACTGGGGGTGTGGGTGTGGGGTGTCAGCTATTGTTTTGGGGAGCTGGCCTGGTTAGCAAAGGCAGTGACCTGGACAAGGGCTCCCCTTGATGTGGAGGGAGGTGGTGGCTGCAGGCTGCAGATACCAACAGGGGGCACCTGTGTGATTTTGAGAACCTAGGGTTGTCAAGGATGGTGAGGTGTCTGCAGCCCTGATCCCTTCTCCCTCCCCTGGGGGCACATGTCACGAGGTTCCCTGGGCCTCTCTGACAAATCCTTGGGTCCTTTGGCCCTCGGGTGATTTCTGGAACTCACCGTGATCCTGTGCCTGGCCTGCCCAGTATTCCTGGCTCTTCTTTCTGTCCCGGGGCATTGTGGGCGCCGGCACAGCCAGCTACTCTACCATCGCGCCCACCATCCTGGGCGACCTCTTCGTGAAGGACCAGCGGACCCGGGTGCTGGCCATCTTCTACATCTTCATCCCTGTTGGAAGGTTGGTATCAACCCTGGGTCCACTTCCCCAGGTGATAAAACTGAGGCCCAGAGGAGTCAGAATAGGGGGGCTGAGGGTAGGAGAGATCAAACCGGAGAGCTGGGACTGAAATCTCAATTCTACCCCTTTGTGACCATATCATGCTACTCTCTAAGCCTCAGTTTTCCTCATCTGTAAACGGGGGCAGTAACACCCACTGATGGGCTGTGGTGAGCGTGAGAGATAGTAAGGATGCGCCACATTAGTTAACTCCCTCCTGGAAGTGGGGAGAAGGGCAGTGTGGCATGGGAACTGCTCAGGGTGTGGCCGTTCTGGGGGGTGATACAAAGAAGTGTGTTTGGGCAGGTCCTGCACCCCAAAGAGAGTGGGACAGAGTGGGATTTGCAGCCAGATTCCTGAGCTCTGACCCAGGTTTCCTGAAATCGCATGACTCAGGCAGGGCTGAGCTTCGGGTGGGGAGTCCTCATGTGAGGGGAGAGTGGGGCTGGGGGTGGGCCAGGAGCCAGAGGTCACTGCTAAATCGACCAAGGGCAGTGGACATCTGGGCCTTGCGTGGCTCACTTTTCTGGTGTTTCTGAAGACTGTGAGCCTGCTGAGGGCTGACTCCCGGAGGGGGGAGGGTAGCCTGGTCAAACTGGCCTTGGGCTGCCTGCCTGCCGCCCCTCACTGCCCATTTCCCTCACCCCTCTGTTGCAGTGGTCTGGGCTACGTGCTGGGCTCGGCTGTGACAGAGCTGACTAGGAACTGGCGTTGGGCCCTGCGTGTGAGTCCAGCTTCCTTTTCTCCCCTCTGCTCCCCCACTCCCCACGCCAAGAGGGACTTTCCAGTATCCCGCGGCCTTAGCCATTTGGCATCGTAACTGGCGCCATGGGGGTGGTCGGATGTCTGCAGCTTTGGGCATTTGGGGCCCATATGGAACATGGGCTATGGAAGCTGTGACCCTGGGTTCAAATCCTGGCTGCTCATTTACTACCTATGTGACCTCAAGAAAGTTGCCTCACTCTTCAAAGCCTCAGTTTGCCTACCTGTGAAGTGGGGATAATAAATACCACCTTATGGAATCTTTAGGATTAATAAGACAAGGGATGAAAAATTCCTGGTCCAGGGCCAGGGCACATAGTAGGTCCTTAAGGACTCGCAGCTGGGGTTACTCAGGTAGTGGACCCAGGATACCTGGGAAAATACCTGGTCAGCCCTGTTGGGGGTACATTCATCTTTGGATCAGATTCTGGCAGGGATATAAGAAGAGGAAGGAACTCAATGGCAAGAGGGCGCTGGGGGCTTGATCTTGGAAGAAGCAACCTCACAAGTGGTTTCTGGGTGCAGATCTCTGTGGAGCCATCTGGTGCCGAGGGAGCTGGCCTGTGTGAGGCCGCGGAAGGCAGAGTCAGGCTTGGGGTGGGGGCGGGCTTCAAGGAGGTGGGCCTGAGCTTGGCCTGAATAAGAACTTTCTCATAGCCTGAGCTGCTTAATGGCTGCCTTAAGGCAGGTACTGAACTCCCCATCCTTGGGAGTCTGAGCAGGGGGACTGCTAGGAGGGGACACTAGGGCAGGACTGGTGTGGCAGATGAAGGTACGGGTCAAGAAAGAGGACGGTTCTTGGGGCAGCAGGGGTCTGGGTACTCAACAGTTGGGGTCAGCATAGTTGGGACTCCAGCTCTCAACCAGCTTGGCCCATTGAGCCAGACAGATCAACATCAGCACTGGACAGACAGGTATTGAATCACATCCCAAGGGGCCCCTGCTCCCCAGAAAGGCTACACTGTATAGGGGTGAGGGGTGAGAAACAGTGGTATGTCCAGCTCTGTGACATACCATGAGCTGTGCCCAGGGCACAGGGTGCCCCAAAAGCCTGGACCGCAGAGTTCAGATACCATGGCTGGCACTGTGCCAGTCACCCCAGGGTCTGCGGGCTTGAGAGCATACGGCCCTGAGCTTCCTGGGCCCTACTGTCCCCAGATCATGCCCTGCCTGGAGGCCGTGGCCTTAGTCCTGCTCATCGCGCTGGTTCCAGATCCGCCCCGGGGAGCTGCTGAGAAGCACGGGGAGGTGGCCATGGGAGGCCCGAGGAGCAGCTGGTGTGAGGACGTCAGATATCTGGTGAGAAAGTGAGTGTTCCTGCTCCCACAGAAAAGCCTCATCTGCTCTAAAACCACCTCCCTCTCTCAGCCTCCAGGAAGCCGTCCCTGATAGTTCCAGAATTCACAGCCGTCTTCCTCTTCTGAGCTCCCACCTCACCCCCTGGGCATGCCCCTCCCTGGCCTGGGGCTGACAGAAATGTGGGCTGGGAGGGAAGCATGCAGCGTGGGCTCCAGCCTTGGCTCATCTATGCCATGGACATTATCTCCAGCCTGCCCACTGCTGGGGGCTGCTGCGAGGGGCTAGGAGCTAATCAATCACCCCTCCAAGCTCATGGGACTGTGTCATCCTCTGTCCCAGGCACGGCGGGGAGGTGGACAGGAGTCAGCTGAACTCTCAGGCCTCATGATTCACCGAGATGTGGGGCATGAGCAGGGCAGTGTTCTCATTGTTACAGGGCCATGAGACCAGTTGAGGGGACTCAGGTGAAGATGGGCAGAGATGGTTTCCAGGAGCATCTGATGGTGGCTGTGGGCCTTTCAAGGTGGGGAGGTTTGCTCCTGCAGAAAGGAGGGAGGAGGATACGGCCCGAGCAAAGGTATGCAGGTGGGATGTATAGGTATTCTCAGAGGATGCTTGGAGCATGGCGCTCAGAGCCTGGAGTCGGCAGTCACCTGAATGCCCAGGAGAGGGGAGAGGCACAAACCTCCCCCCGCTTCAGCCAGGCCGCCTTCTCTTGCAGCTGGAGTTTTGTGTGGTCGACCTTTGGAGTGACAGCCATGACCTTTGTGACTGGAGCCCTGGGCTTCTGGGTCCCCAAGTTTCTGTTCGAGGCCCGTCTGGTCCACGGGCAGCAGCTTCCCTGCCTCCGAGAGCCGTGCAACAGCCAGGACAGGTGAGGAGCCTCTGTGAGCCCTGGGCTCCTGGCCTAGGTGATGGGGGTTCACGGTGAGGATGTTCTCAGGAGGTTTTGAGCCCCAAAGCTCAGTCTCTCTGAGCAACGGTGCTCTGTGGAGATGGCAGCCCTGAGAACTGCCCAGCAGGCAGGAGGCTGTTTCTTGCTCTGGCTCAGTCCCTGCTACCCTGGCTCACTATGAGCAGCTTCCTTGCCCTCTTTGGGCCCCAGTCCCGCCCTTCCCACTCCTGGGGATGCTGTGGGGGTCCAGAAGGCACTGGGTGGGAGATGAGGATCTTCTGTGGGGACTGACAGATGATGGGAGTCCTGGACAACACTGTAGGCGCTGAGAATCCTGGGAAAGCATACAGACATAGAAGCCCAACAAGCGGCAAGCACTCTGCCGTCAGGGATGCCCTTCCCACTCCCTCCCGGCTGGTCCCGTCTCACTCTGCTGCCTCCACACCTTCGACTCCATTCTCCAAGGACACCAATGACTTCCTTGATGCCAAGTCAAGGCCCCCTTCACCTTTTTTTTACTTGCCTTCTCCTCCCTGAAGCCCTATGCTCTTCAGTCTCCTTGTGTTTCCCTCTTCCTCTCTGATGGTGCCCTGGAAGTTTCCTCAGAGTTGTGTTATATATAACACAACATTTGCCAAGTCAACATTTTTCACACGTACGATTCAGCGACATTTTTCGTGTTGTGCAACCATAGCCAGAATCCACTGCCAAATTATCCACCACCATTAACAAACTCACTGCTTCCCAAACAACGATTTCCCCTCTCTCCCTCCCTCCAGCTCTTGGTAACAACTATTAAACTTTTTGTCCCTGTGCATTTGCCTATTCTAGATATTTTCACGTACGGGGGATCATATAATAGTTTTCTTCTGTAACTGACTTATTTCACTCAGTATAATGTTTTCAAGATTTGTCCATGTTGTAGCATATATCAGGACTTCCTTTTCCTTTATGGCTGAGTAATAAATATTCCCGTGTGTGGATACACCACATTTTGTTGATCCATTAGTCTGGTCTGTTGATAGACATTTAGGTTGTTTCTACCTTTTGGCTGCTGTGAATGGTGCTGCAGGGAACATTGGTGTACATGTCTGAGTGCCTGGTTTCAATACACCTAGGAGTGGAATTGCTGGGCCATAAGGGCTTCATCCTGGTGGGGCAAACGGTTAGGAGCTTGGCTGCTAACTGAAAAGTTGATGATTTGAACCCATCCAAAGGCTCATGGGAGAAAGACTTGGAGATCTGCTTCCGGAAAGATTACAGCCAAGAAAACCCTATGGGGCAGTTCTACTCTGTCGTAGGTGTTGCTATGAGTTGAAATAGACTACGGCCAACTAATAGCAAAGGGCTGCATGATCTTCCTGGAGCTCTGTCCTTCCTCGAGGCTTCGGCGATTCTGGCTCTTGCTGGCAGCTCCTACTTCTACCCCCTTCTGCCTAGCCTCCTCTCTCGCCTCTCTCCCCTTTCTCTGACGTCCAGTCAGAGCTTTGTGTAATTTCCAGAATGTCCTATGCACTCTCACTTGTCTCCTTTGCCCAACCTGTCTACTGCCTGTACCTCCCTCCACTTTTCTCATCACTATTTATTAAACCCTTACTTCAGTTCAGGCTTTATGCTAAGCATTTAACATCAGTACATCTGAGGAAGACCTTCTTAGTATTCCTATATTATGAGAGATGGGAGCTCAGAGAGGTTAAGTAACTTGTCCAAAGCCACACAGCTAACAAGTGGCAGAGGCAGGATTCAAATCCATCTGACTCCAAAGCCTGTGCTCTTAAGTTCTGTGTCCTATTGCCTCTGGAGACTGCCTGTTCCTGTTCACTAACTTGGACACCTCTCCGCTTTGCTAGGACTGCTTTCTGGCACACAGTAGGTGCTCAGGGAAAGCTTGTGAGTAAGTGCATTGAGTGTATGAGTATGAGGAAGCGATGTTTGTCTTGGCGCCTCAGCTGGATTGTTTTCTCCCGGAAGCAACGGCTGAGTCCTAAAAGCCCCACAGCAGCTTGAAAAAGTGGAAGAAAAACAGGACCCAATTCCACAGCAGGCATTCACTGGGTTTGACGTTTTGAGCAAGTCACTTCCCCTTTTCTCAGCTTCACCCTCCTCCCTCTAACTTAGCTCCTTCACAGAAACTTTGTTAGAAATGGATGTGGAAGTGTATATTAGTTTCCTGTCACTTCTGTAACAAATTACCACAAACTTGGTGACTTAAAACAACAAAAATTTATTCTGTCACAGTTCTGGAGGCTAGAAGTCCAAAATGGTTTCACGGGGCCAAAAGCAAGGTGTCAGCAGGGCCCTGCTCCTTCTGGAGGCTCTAGGGAAAAGTCTGTGCCTTGCCTCTTCTAGCTTCTGGCAGCTGCCAACATTCCTTGTTTTATGGCCCTAGTGCTCCAGTCTTTGCTTCGGTGGTCACATTGTCTTTACCTCTTCTGTCTCAAATCCCCCTCTGCCTCTCTCTTGGAAGGACATTTGTGATTGTATTTACGGCCTACCTGGATAATCCAAGATAACCTCCCTATCTCAAGATCCTTGACTTCATCACATCTGCCAAGTCTGAAAGTCTTAGGACATAGACATCTTGGGGGCCATTATTCAGCCTACTGCACAGTGGGTGGAAGGTCCTGATGTGGGGTTCTGCACAGACCTCAGCTATTAATAAACTCCCTTTAGTTAGGATGAGCCCCAGGGTGAGGGTGGGGCAGGGCAGGAAGCTGCAGGACCCAGGACTCCAGCTCAGTTGAGGAAGATCTTCCGACACTCAGAGCTGCCCCAGATGGAAGGGGCTGCATTGGGAGTGGTGAGCTTTCCATCCCTGGGGGTGTGTGAGCAGGTATTGGACAGCAGTTTGCCAAGGTCACTGTGTAGGGGGTCAGAATAGGATTTGCAGGCCTTGAAGGGCCCCCCTGGCTCTAAGGGCCTATGATTCTGGAAAGGGCTTGTGGGCATGGGGGGACCTTTCAAAGGTCTCTTTCAAAGGTGTCTGGAGTGATTCCTCTGATTGCAGCTCCTGATCAGGGGCTGATGAGGGGCCCTTGTCTAGGCTACCTGTCTGAATAACAATCCCAAACCTCACAAAGGTCTTGAGAACCTGTCAAGGCTGGCTTAGACCAGGGCTCTGAGGCAGATGGCATTCATTCAGGATTCGGAGTCATGTAACTGGGCTGAACCACAAACTTGCACAGCTTGGAAGGCTGGGAAGCCTCCGTGAGCATCTTTAAGTTGCCTAAGGACCTGCATGCTTCTGTCTGGTAGGCAGAGGGCCAGGAGGCCCTGGCTCTGTCATTGAGGGGCTATGTGACCTCGGGCAAGTTTCTGCCCTCTCTGGGCTCCTTGCTGTCTCCTATGCACTGAGGGGAGGGGGTGGGGAAATGAACCCACTAGTCCTCAGCCCGTAGGATGGACATTTCACAGAAGTTGTTTAGGGGAGAAGTGGTTTGTGATACCCAATTTGTCAGTACCCATAGTCCTGTGCTCTTACGTTCTTGGGTGTCAGCGGGAACCACAGAGGTAATAGCAGGGCACCTGTGCCATCCCACACCCTTCTGGAAATGTCTAGGTCTGAGAGGGGATACTAGCCAAGTGCAATAAGGGTGGGTGAGGGGACAGTGCTCCAGGCCAAGGGAACCTGCAAGCATAGGTTGAACTGAGAGAATTTCCAATCATTTGTGCAGGGTCAGGAGGGAGGGGGAAGGGAAAGGTGTGCAGGTCAGCAGGGCTAGTTGTGAAGGCCTTGGATGCTGGCCAGAGAGCTTGCCTAGAGGACAGTGAGGAGCCACTCAGGGGCCTGAAGCAGGAAAAGGTCGTGGTTAGATTGTGTTTTCAAGAGTTTGTGCTGGTCACAGTCTCAGCTATCCCTCTGAGCTCTTTTAAGAGGGAGCTTGGGAAAGCAGGATAGACCAGGAGGGCAAAGATGTGTCATTTAAGAGCTGAGCAGTCTCTGTCTTAACCTTTCTCAGCCTTGCCTTCCTCATCTGCTCCACCTGGGAATTCTGGGAGGTATCACTGAGCTCATTTGCTCAACACATACGTTTTGTGCGTCAGGCTCTATGTTCCCAGGAATTCAAAGACTAATGAATGGCCCTGATGATAGGGACTCAGAAGGTGCTATGAGAACTGATGGGAGTAAAGAAATCAGCAAGGGGGCAGGGGAAGGCATCCCCCAAAAGAGGACATCTATGATGGGTCGTGAAGGATGAATAGGAGTTCGGTAGGTGGAAAAACTAGGGAAAAGTGTTCCAGATGAGGGAATGAAAGTATGAGCTGGAGGTGGGGACAATAACTAGTCTGGGAGCAGAGGAGGATGGAGCTGGGGACTAGAGTTGAGGTCAGCCACGGTCCAGGCATAAAGGGCCAAGTATACCACGATAACGAGTTGGAACCGAATCCAGGAGGTGTTTAGGAGCCATTGGAGAATTTCAGGGAGAGGGTAGGCAAGGACATGGTCTGATTTGCATTTGAGAAAGCACCCTTTGTACTGAGGTTGTCCCGGAGGGGCAGATCTCTGCAGGAGGGAGGCACAAGGGCAAGCCAGGTGGGGTTGAAGTGGGCTCAGGAGTAGGTGGGAAGGCAGTGAAGTCAAGAGGGGGCTGCCTAAGGGATGTTCAAAGATGGGGAGTGGAAGGATGAGATTCAGCAAGGGAGTGTGTGTGCACTGCCCAAACAAGGGCTGGGGATCACACAAACAAACCCATTGCCCTTGAGTCAATTCTGACTTATAGCGACCCGTAGGACAGAGTAGAACTGCCCCATAGGGTTCCCAAGGCTGTAATCCTTACGGAAGCAGACTGCCACAGCTTTCTCCTGCAGAGCGTCTAGTGGGTTAGAACCACCAACCTTTCAGTTGGTGGCTGAGCGCTTAACCACTGTGTCATCAGGGCTCCGTAGGAGTTCAATAAATAAATGTACACTTGCCCCCTTTCCTTAGTATTCAGGGCTAGAAGGAGAGGAGGTTAGGGCCAGAGTGGGATGCTAGAATGAAGATTTCTGAGTGGGGCAGTTTTGGATGGTAAGAGGGTAGAGTAGGTCGTTGGAGATGAGGTAGGCTGAGAACTGGGGTGCTGGAATGCTGAGTGGGTCACCCATATGGTTGGTTACATCCCCAGCATGAGGCAGGAAAGGGGAGAGGGGAGGACAGGGTGCCGAGGGTGCAGGGGAGGACATGTGCCCCTGATCAGGGTCTTGAGGCTCCAGGAGAGGTCAGGAGGGAGGGGAAGGGGTAGGTCAGGTCAGGGGTACATGTCCTGTAGAAACCAGATCATGCACCTAGGTCAGGTGGCTGGACCCAGAGGCGAGGTGGGTGGGAGGGACCAAGGGTCTCTATCCTAATCCCCCCTCCCCAACTGACCTACCTGCCTTGGCTCTCTTTCCATCAGCCTGATTTTTGGGGCACTGACCGTTGTGACTGGCATCATTGGGGTCATCCTGGGGGCAGAGGCAGCGAGGAGGTTCAAGAAAGTCAACCCGAGGGCTGAGCCCCTCATCTGTGCCTCCAGCCTGCTTGCCACAGCCCTCTGCCTCTACCTGGCTCTTGTCCTGGTCCCAACCACACTCCTGCCCTTCTACGTAAGTGAGGGTGCCTTTGGGAGTTGGGGGGGGGGAGCAAGTGGGTGGGGAACTAAGCCCTGCACCAGGTCTTTATATGTGCATTGTTTACTCTTTCCAGGTAGAGCTTGTTATCCCCATTTTACGGATGAGTAAATTGAGGCTCAAGTGGAGGAAATAACTTACATAGAGTTACACAGCCGGGAAGGGGCAGAGCAGGGAACCCAAGCCTTTCCAGCTCTGAAGTGTGTCCTCTGAGCTCCTGGTTAACACTTTGAACTAAAATAACGGGACTCATCTATTTCCAGGGCATTCTTGGGTTGTCAGCTCGAGAAGCAATAGTGCAATTCTCCCCAGGTTACGGATGAGGAAGGTGAGGCCCAGACTGATCATAGCCAATGTGGACACTGGTTTAAAGGTGACGATGTGATAATCTCACATTTTCCAGACCCACATCCCATTGCATCCCTTCCTGCGCCTCACACCCTGGCGATTCCAGCACGTAGATGCTCATTTTCCAGTTTTTGCTGTGTCTACTCCCTCCACTAGGGGCACTGTTTTCCTCTTCTGTGCTTCTTAAAATCCTTCTGCAAGACCCAACTCAAAGGCCACCTCCTTCACAGAGACTTCCGGGACCACTCTGTGTTCACATCAGAATTTGCCACGCCTTCCTGGGCTCAGTGTGCATTTGCCCCCATCAGGTCCCAGGGTGTGTGGTGTATCTACAGACAGGGAGCCCGAAGGGCAGGGACTAGATCTTGCCCCTCCCTGTGTGCGGCAAAGCGTCCCTGGCTCCCCCAGCCCCTGCCCTACCTGTCCTCCCAAATGAGACGAGGCGGTCACTTCTGGAAAGACTGCACCAGCCCAGACCCAGCCAGACAGGCTGGAGTCCCTCCCTTGCCCGGGTCCATGGCCTTGCCTGCTGGTCCAGGAGACCCATCACTGCACCTGGGCCTGGGAGGGCCTGTCTCTATAGATGCTGATGCCAGTGCACACATGTACTGGATTCACTGAGGGGGCTGGGCTCAGAGACAAATCAGCACACAGCTTTATTGTTCTCCTGGTCTTGCTCATCTCCCACCCATGACCAGATCCCACGGCCTTTCCAGGCACGGTCATGAGTCTACAAGTCCGGTCCGATTTAAATCAAAACTTTGGTTTATACTTTCAAATAAGGCTGCTATCCAGACCCAGAGCATTGCATTGGGTAGAGGGGGAGCTCTAGACTAGTTTCATCCTGCTTGTTTCATTTTGTGTCCTTCATCTCTGACGCTGTCCCTGCCCGCCTCCCCTTCTGACCTCCCCAGGGTTGGGCAGGCAAGGAAGGATGGCAGGAAACGGGCAAAGTATTACCTGTGTCTGGAGTTGTTCTTGCTGTCAGTGCTGTCAGTGGGGCAGATGCCAAATTCTGACTTGCTCTTCTCTTGGGCACTTTTGGGGGTTTTGGTGGGGAGGGGCCTCTGGCCCTGGCTTTTTTTTTTTTTTTTATTGTACTTTAGGTGAAGGTTTACAGAACAGTTTTTCATTAAATGGTCTGTACACATATAGTTTTATGACATTGGTTAACAACCCCATTACATGTCAACACTCTTCCTTCTTGACCTTGGAGGATCTGTTTTTTTTTTTTTTTGGTGAAAAAATACATAGCCAAAGTTACACAATTTTGAAAGTTTCTACATGTACAATTCAGTGACATCGATTACATTCTTCCAGTTGTGCTGCTATTCTCACTATTCTTTTCCAAATTATTCCACCACCATTGTCTTCAACTCACTGCCCCCTAGGCTTCCCATCAAACCTTTTGAGTTGCTGTTGTCAATTTGATCTCACATAGATAATTCTTTTTTTTTTGTACTTTAGATGAAAATTTACAGAATAAAATAGTTTCTCATTAAACAGTTAGTACACATATTGCCCTATGACAATGGTTAACAACCCCACGACCTGTCAACACTGTCCCTTCTCAACCTTGGGTTCCCTATCACCAGCTTTCCTGTCCCCTCCTGACTTCTAGTCCTTGTCCCTGGACTGCTGTGCCTCATTAGTCCCATTTTGTTTTACGCTGCTATACAATCCCCGGCTGAACGGTGAACCTTGGGAGTGACTTCACCACTGAGCTAAAAGGGTGTTGGGGGGCCATACTCTCAGGGTTTCTCCAGTCTCTGTCAGGCCAGTAAATCCGGTCCTTTTCCTGTGAGTTAGAATTCTGTTCTACATCCTTTTCCAGCTCTGTCCAGGACCCTCTATTTTGATCCCGGTCAGAGCAGCCAGTGGTGGTAGCCGGGCACCATCTAGTTGTACTGGACTCAGTCTGGTGGAGGCCGTGGTAGCTGTGGTCCATTAGTCCTTTGGACTAATCTTTCCCTTGTATCCTGTTCTCTTCATTCTCCCTTGCTCCCTAAGGGGTGACACCAGTGGAGTATCTTAGATGGCTGCTCACAGGTTTTTAAGATCCCAGACACTACTCACCAAGGTAGAATGTAGAACATTGTCTTTATAAACTGTGTTATGCCAATTGAGCTAGATGTTCCCTGAGACCATGGTCCCCACAGCCCTCCGCCCAGCAATTCAGTCCCTTAGGGAGTTTGGAAGTGTCTAGGGAGCTTCCATGACCTTTCCATGTACGAGTTTTGCTGGCTTCCCCAGTGCTGTGTACTGTCTTACCCTTCATCAAAGTTACCCTGGCTTTTTAATTAGTATGGTGTATTACACTGATTGATTTCCCTTGCATTCCTGGGATAAATCCCACTTGGTCATGATGTGTAATCCTTTTGATATGCTGTGGGATTCAGTTTGCTCGTATGTTGTTGAAGATTTCTGCATCTATATTCATAAGGGATATTCGTCTGTAGTTTTCTTCTCTTGGGTGTGTCCCCGGCTTTTGCACTGCCCAATTCCTCGGTGCAGGAGACACAGCCCCCCACAGTCCTCCCACAGCTTCCCCGCTGCGTGTCTTCTTCATGTGTTGCCCTTCCAGCCCCTTCCGGCTGGGCCCTCTTGCCCCGCAGCCAGCCCTGTGGGGAGCCCCCCCTCTCATGACCACTCCAGCCTGTCCCCCCGCCATGGTGCCCATTCAACCCCTTGGGTAAGCTCCGAAAGTACAGCCACCCTCTGTGCTGCCCTCTCTCCTCACCCCACCCCTGCAGCCTGCTCCATGTGGCACCCCCACCCTCTGACTTCCCCAGGCCCCAGCGAACTCCAAGTGATGTTCATTGGGTACACAGAGGACACCCTCTGTGCGCACCCCTCAGGTGGCCCTGCTGCAGGAGGCCAGCATTAGCCAGCATCCAGCCATGGAGGAAGGCCAGTTTCCCTCCTGGCAGGCACTGCCCTCCCCGGGTGGTTCCCCGGAAGCCCCTCCCTCAGCTTGAGAAGGGGACTCTTCAAATGAACCCTCCCAGCCTGAGTCTCCAGCCTTCTTCTGTAGAAGCTAGTGGGGGCACGTGTGACTGTTTCTTTTCCCTCTCTAAGTCCTGCAGATTCTCTGCCAAGTCTTTTAAGGTGTGGGCACTTCTTACCTGTCGTCTTTAGCTTTGGACTTCAGCCAGCATTTCTGGAGTAGAGTGGAGTCCTGTTATCATTACCTTTTCCACATGCTTTGATTAAGTTCTCACAACACTCTTGCGGGGAAGGGTTTTTCTCATCCCCACTGGACAGATTGGAAAACTGAGGCTCACAGGCAGCAACAGACAAATAGTGGGGCAAATAAACTCCAACTCAGCTACTCAGACTCCAAAGCCTGTGTCCTTCATGCTGCGCTGTCCCTTGTCACCCCTGTGGAGAGAAACAAACCCTGGGATACATTAAACCAGTCAACTCCAACTCATGGCAACCCCATGTGTGTCACAGTAGAACGGTGCTCCATAGGGTTTTCAAGGGCTGATTTTTTGAAAGTAGATCACCAGGACTTTCTTCCGAGGCACCTCTGGGTGAATTTGAACGTCCAGCCTTCTGATTAGCAGCTGAGCATGTTCACAGGGACTCCCGGCATACACTAAACCAAAAAAACAAAACCTGTTGCTGTTGAGTTGATTCTGACTCATTGTGACCCTATAGGACAGGGTAGAACTACCTCAGAGAGTTTCCAAGGAGCGGCTGGTGGATTCAAACTGCCAACCTTTCAGTTAGCAGCCTGAACTCTTAACCAGTTTGCCACTAGGGCTCCAGGGCTCCAACTAGGCTCTAGTGAATATATTAATGCACATTACTTGAGGGAGTGGGAGAGGGACTGGGACCCTCATTTCTGGCTGGTGGGGGCTGACAGGGCCTGACCTGGCAGGGAGACTGAGGCCAGGGTAGATGGAGGCCCCATCAACGGCCTGTCCCTGCCTTGGCGAGGGCTGGGGACCCCTGCCAATGCTGCTTCTGCCACTGCCTTGGCTGGCTCTGGCAGGCAGCTCCTTGGCTATGTGTCGGGGACACAGCTGCCCCCCTCCACTCCCGCAGCCTGGCACATCTCCAGAGCTGGATGGGCTCATCTAGAAATGACATTGTGTCTTGTCAGGCAAAGCCAGCTGGAGAAACTCTCCTTTTGGCCTGTCCCGGCGGAGTAGGGACAGGGGGATGAGGGGCAGGAAGGTGGGCAGGTTCATGCTGTGGCTATCCTCCTGCTCTGGGAGCCTCTCCTCTCTGTGACCAGGGCTGGGCCTGGTGCTGAGTCTTGCTACCAGAACTCCAACCTGCGTATCCCCTCCAGAAGTGGTGCAGGTCTTCCGTCTCCTGACCTGGCCTGCCCCATGGCTCTGTCTGAGCCCTGAACTCCACCTGGATGTCCTGTCTTGAGATTCAGGCTCCTGCTCCCCTGCACTGCCCACCCACTCCCCGCATCAGTAAACCCTGGACATCTCCCAAATCTCCCGTCTCCACTCCTTCCCGTTTGCCCTGGCTCATGCCTCTGTCTTTCCCCAGGACTGTTCCAGGAGCCACCTTCCTGCTCACCCCCCACAATCTGTTCTTCCCACATGGCAGAGTTAGCTTTCTGACACCACCGACCTTCCTGCTCAGAAGCCTCACATGGCTCC